CGATTTTAATTGAAATTTTTAAAAGTGGTTTTCAAAAGGCTTGCCATTGTTRAAGTAGGGTCTTATAATAGCTAGAGACTTGGTTATTATGTGAGAAAGGAAACTGAAGATACTGAAACTTAAGGGTTTATTGTATGCGAAAATTTGAAGGCGGACCAAATCAGCTCAAACTGTTGAAGAAAAAGAAAGAAAAAAAAGGAGAGAAAATAAAATTAAACCAGAAAATATATTAGGAACGACAGAGCAGAAAATCGACAAGGCTGCTACTTTCGCAATTTTTTTCTTTATCTCTCATTCATGCTAAAAGACGTTTAGTGTTTCATTCGTGTCTCTTGTGCTTTAAACTTTTAACAAAATTCTGCTAACCTYGAGCAATTCTACTTTGAGGTATTAGCAAAAAATGTTAGTTTTTGCGCTGATCAAAATATCATCTCTCCCAACATTGAGGGCGTTATATCTAAAATACACATTCCTTAAATTTCCCCAAATTTTGGTATGTTGTAAATCAGCCCCAAAAGAGCCTGTTTATGAAATATAAAGCTTATTAACGCATAAACGTCGAAAGTAGAACCCTTATTTCTGCCTGTCATTAGGAACACGTACGAAATAAAACAAAGCAGCGCAAAACCAGCAATGACAAGAACAACAAATAAATGAAGTAGTCGAAAACATCGACAGCTGAATTTGACAACGACTTAAGTGTACAAATGCAAAAGACTTCGTAGCGTTGCCTTAATTGCTTAACGATTGGTTTACAAGCTAGCTACACTGACAATCTAATTTTACAAGTTTTTAATAAGTACAATAACAGTAATAAATCGTCCTTGTCATAGTGTAGGGGTGTAGCACTTTATAAATAGCCAGTGGCTTACAAACACGTGGTCCGATCAATGGAATTAATTTAGAATTTAACGGTTGATTTTTGCGGAGGAGAAAACCCCTCGAAGCACAGGAGAGATAGCGGATATTACATGGGCACGCGGAGATACGAAATTGATCTTCGAGTGTTGAAAAGATCTTTTCAACACGARAAGATAAATTTCGTATCTCCAAGCGCCCAGGTAATATTCTGTTTATTACATAATTATCCACTAAAATCAACTTAATAAGCTTTTTATTATTGTGAAAAGTTTTTATTTATAAACTAATAGCTTAAATACACATGGTAACGATATTTTTACATGTGAAAATATCAGTTTTTCGAAAATGAGAAATACAAAGGTATAGGTATTTTATGGATGATCATATGATAAAACTAAAGAGCAACTCTACTCACCAACAGTTTATTATGAGATAAAAAATACCAACCACTATATAAAAACATATTTTCGGCTTGTTCCAACAATTATTGCATTATTAAGATGATTTATTAATAGAGGGGCGGATCAAGGGGTAGTAAAACGGGTTATTAGTCACCCCCGTCCCCCCCCCCCCATCTTTTGCTCAATTCACAGTATATCGTTAGTAACATTCCCCCCCGTTCTCGAATTACAGGAAAAACCACTGTTATGGTTTAGTTACCCCCTTTTATTATTCCTGGATCTGTCTCTGTAATTGCAAAAACAACTGTTCACGTTTAAGATCAACTGTACTATATTTAGTATAGAAAAGATTATTGAAACGAATAAATAAGACAATCGAATCTTTTACAGGAAAATTTTACACAATAAAATTGTTTTAATATGTGTTGACAGAAAATTCAGCAATTTTCCATCAAGGAAATTGTTCCAAAAAGACCTTTTTTTCTTTACGGTGATCAAAACAATAAACGGAAAGAGCGCTCGCGCGCAAGATAATGACGCACGGGAGTAGGGTAAGGCGAAATTTAAACTGCATCCGGTTACTAAAAATAGCCCAAGAGAATTTACATGCCGCGCGCGTTATTAAGAAGTTTCCCTCTCTTATTTATGCTCTCTTGAGACTACAGACAGTATAATTTATTTGTTTAACGGTTGTGAAGAACATGAATATAAATACCATTCAGACTCAGAACTTCGGTTTTGTTTTTGCGGGAATGACGTGGCTTGAAATGGAAAAACATTACTTTCAAGTGGATTTGGCCTAAGTTAGGGAAGGTAACTTCAAATAATTGAATTATATAATAATTTTATCATTTTAAAAACATTTTTCCTTTATGTATGAGTTATTAGTAATATTAATTAAAGATAAATAAAAATAATATAATAAAATAATAAATGGGATTTAGCAGTGGCATTTCTACAGAGTAGCTCTTCATCCACTGTAATTCCAATTGGAATTTAGAAGTTGATTGGAAAATTACTCATATGCTCAGTCATCTAAAAAGCTACAAGTATTGACAACTACTCAGGGGCGGATCCATGATTTTTTCAAAGGGTGGGTTGTAGCATTGATTGAGGTGGTTGAGAGATATAGCAGACCAAAGGGTTAGTATAGGGAGACGATTATTTGCTGCAGGCGAGCATGGTTGTTTCAGGTCCCACACACGGCGTATAGAAAAAAAGCAAGCGAAATGAGTTCGGCACCCCTGTTTTAATAAAACTCGCGATGCTGTTGGTGTTGTCATGAAAAAAAAATCACGATGGCTCTCATAGGGGGGGTTGCAACCCCCAAA